CCCCGCGAGTGACGGCGCCGTCTCTCCACGGGCGCACGTCCAAGCGCCCCACCCCCGCGGCGCGGCCGCGCGCAGTCGCTGAGGGGCGCGCGGATGGCAAGTGCCGGCGCGGTGGCGCGAGGCGCGCGGCACGCCGCGCAATCGGGACGCGAGGCGCACGTCCATATTGTAGCATCGCTGCATCTCCGGCGGCAACGGGTGCCGTTGTGCTTTGATTTTTGGTTGTTTGGTTTGGCGGTTACCAAAGTACCGTGGTTTGCTGCTGTTGATGGATGAATTTTAGTTCCAATTGGATATCTATGTACGTACAGTACTTGTACTTGTAGTGATCTTCTTGGGTAACGTACCGTCGTGAGTCGAATCGCCCCCCGACTCTACACTGCTTTAGCCTTTAGCCTCTCCTCCCTTTGTCTTTCCCGATGATCTGGTCATGTACACCAATATACATATTACGTTTGTTTATCACAACCCTCGCTTAAATAATTATCAAGCCGTTTAAAACCCTCGCCTTGTCATCCGCTAGGCCATTGGATCATCTACAGTACGCCAATACATGTTTTCCGTTTTGTTTCTTTATCAAAAACAATCCCACCGTCACTTGTAATTTACAAGTGTGTCAATACACTTTTACAACTTGTAAAAGTGTCAATACACTTTTACAACTTGTAAAAGTGTATTGACACACTTCAAAACCCTCGCCTTGTCATGTCATCCGCTTGGCCATTGGCTCGCCTCCCGCCTCGTTTTCGACCACCTCACGAGTCGTGAGGCCCGTGAGCCACGACCGACCTGTTTACACTTTTCCCGGTCTTACCTTTTCGGATAATCTGAGCAGCCTATCGGTTGGGGTCTTTTTCACAGTGCACCTATGCCCCACGGGTATGTGTCCATCCAATATCAACGCCAGGCCGTCCGCCCTTCCGGGTGCTCGCGGACCCCCCTCCAGCATCAACCACCTCCCGCCTCAAGACGGGGTCTTGCTTACGGCATTGCAGTTTCTCGAAGAAGATTGGTCACAACCAGGGCGCGCGGTGATGGAGAACACACAATTGACTGCTGGTGCCGCATACAGGTTAGAACGCGCCCTTCTTACCACCGCCCTTGATTAAGATGGTGGGACATACCCCATGCAGTACCGTTCCCTTGCCTTTGCAACGTTGCGCAATACCGTGCATTCCCTACTTTCTATCCACTTCTGATATTGCAGTAGCTCTAGTGACCTGGTCATCGGGGAAGACAAAGGGAGGAGAGGCCAAAGCAGTTTAGAATCGGGGGGGATTCGACTCACGACGGTGCGTTACCGAAGAAGATCACTACACGTGTACAGGGGGGGTCGCGCAATAGTGCTAGCTTGAGTAGTGCCGCCCTCGATTTAGTGCTATGCGAAACGCCATGGCAAGGGGGTCCCACGATATAGTGCCATACCGGCACAAAGTTTGTGCCGGTTTTGTGCCACAAACCTGTATATGTGGCACTATTGCAGGGTTGCCACTATACAAAGAGAACGAAAATACGACCTTTTACTCAGGAAGCACACAAAACCATCTTTAAAGGACATTATGATAACCCATGCCATGGCGTTTCGCATAGCACTAAATCGAGGGCGGCACTACTCAAGCTAGCACTATTGCGCGGCCCCCCCCGTACAAGTAGATATCCCCGCGTATACTAAAATCCGTGTCTGTCTGTCTGTGTGTTTGTGTATGTGTGTTCGTGCGCTCCCGCACGGGTTGCCATTGGCGCACGGGCGACACGTGGCGGACAAGTGGCGGCCACGTGCGGGGCGCGGCCTGGCCGCAGGCCAGGCCGCCCCGGCTGACAAGTGGCGACACGTGGCTAAAATCCGTGTCTGTGTGTGTGTCTGTATGTCCTTGCGCTCCCGCGTTGCCATTGGCGCACGGGGGCGGCGCCGCGGTGACAAGTGGCGGCCACGTGCGGGGCGGCCTGGCCGCAGGCCAGTCCGCCACGGGGACACGTGGCGTGACAGTCTGTGCGTCTGTGCGTTCCCGCGTTGCCATTGGTGCGCTCTGTAGAAGCCGTCGTGCTGATTGGTGCGCCTAATATTTTCAATTTTTTCGATGTGCCTTTTCGCGGGAAAACAAATTTTGGGCGCACGGGGACGACACGACGTACACGTCACGGCCACGTGAAGGACGGCCTGGACGCAGGCCAGGCCGCCACGGGGACACGTGGCGGTGGCAAGTGGCGGGGGGCTGCGGGGCGGCCTAGCCGCAGGCCAAGCGGCCACCAAGGACACGTGGCGGCTACGGGATTGGCAGAAATTACGTGGGTCATTTAAAAATTCCGCATGACCTCAGAGGCGGCAGCGGCGAGGGGAAAGGGTGTGTCACTGGCGGGGGGCGAGGGGGCCCGCATGGCCACGCTGTCGCGAGGGTCGCGCACGGTGGGTGAAGGCAGAGGCCGCTGACGAGGCCCGAGAGGTGGGTGCGGAGCGCGTGCAGAAGGGGCCGGACCGCGCCCGGGGGGAAGGGGGTGGCGGCGAGCGCCGGCGCGAGGGGTAGGGGCGAGGAACGCCGAAGACCGTCGCTGCGAGGCGGGCAGGTGTCGCAGCCGGCAGCGCAAGAAGACGCGCGCGGGTGAGGGGGGCCGGGAATTGACGCCCAGGCGGTCGCGCTGCGCTCCTTCCGCGCGGTTCGCAGCGTACGAGAGGGAAGATTGACTAACTGCGATGACTGTGGGTGCGGGAGCGGCACTGCGACGGACGAGAAGGACCGCCTACGGAAACGGCGTGCAGAGGGAAAGGGGGTGGCGGCGAGCGCCGGCGCGAGGGGCAGGGGCGAAGAACGCCGAAGACCGTCGCTGCGAGGCGGGCAGGTGTCACAGCCGGCAGCGCAAGAAGACGCGCGCCGGTGAGGGGGGGACGGGAATTGACGCCCAGGCAGTCGCGCTGCGCTCCTTCCGCGGGGTTGGCAGCGTACGAGAGGGAAGATTGACTAACTGCGATGACTGTGGGTGCGGGAACGGCACCGCCACGGACGAGAAGGAGGGCTTACGGAAACGGCGTGCAGAGGGGAAGGTGGCTATGATCGGCTTGATCAAGAAGAGGCAGGCAGGCGGGGGATGGGGGAAGTGCATCATAAGGGGAGGAGGGATCGTAGGGCGGTCAAAGGAGGCAGGAGGGAAGGGGAACCAGGAGAGCTGAGGGCGGGAGAGTCGCTGAGAGCGCACGCGACGAAGCTGGGGCAGCGGCAGCAGCAGCAAGGGTGGGGACGTCGGGAGCAGTAACTGCAAAGGTCGGAGCAGGAAGCCGAGCGGGAGGTGCACAGGCGGCGAAATGGGTGGAGCGGAAGGCGAGGTGGGGGTGCAAGCCCGGGCACGCGAGGCGACGGTTACTTGGGGGCGGCAAGAGCAGCAGCAGGGGCGGAGGCGCGACGGCGAGCGGGCGCTAACTGGGTTGCTCAGAGACGGTGACGGACGTGGTGTGCCGGGTAGCAGCGGAGGCAGGCGTTGACGCCGTGGTGGGCGAGTGCGGCGGGTGGGACGGGCGTGCGGGCGAGATCGCCGATGCGGTGTGCATGCAGCTCCACGCAAAGCGGTTCCAAGCGGCGTCGGAGACTCTGCTGGACCGGCAGGCGGGCGAAGCGCGCGTGGTGGCGAGCTGCGTGGAGCTTCTGCGCAACATGAGCGGGCAGCACGCGGCGAAGAGCGCCGTGCGCGGCGAGATGTGGCGGGCGACGTGCGTGGTGGGTGGCAGTGGCGGGGCGGACGGACGCGGGCGTAGCAGAGACGTTCTGCGGGCTGGTGGGCGGGGTGTGCCTGCGGCGCGGGGACGTGGTGGACGGGTGCGCTTGGGAAGGGGCGGTCGAGGTAGTGGTGAGAGCGGTGGCGCGGAGGGCGGCGGTGCGGGCCGCGCGCATCACGGAGGTGCGAAGAACGGGGAAAGTGGTCGCTGCGAGCCGGGCAAGTGTCGCAGCCGGCGGGGCAGGAGGGCGCGCGCAGGCGGGTGGGTGCCGAGAGCCGCCGCCAGGTAGCAGTGTTAGGCAGAAGCGAGCGGCGGCGTGGAGGGCAGCGGCGCTGACCATGTTTGCGGGCTGCAGGGACCGAACCGCGGCCGGGGGGGAAGGCGACACAGGTGGGCGGCGGCGCTGAGGGCGGCGGCGCGGACCGGGCGCGACGCGCAGGGGCCAGTAACGTGTGGCAGGACGAGGGGGCAAAGGGCGACAAAGACCGGAGAGAAGACGGGAGAGTTAGCGCAGAGGGAGGGGGAGCAGCGGGGCGGGGAACGACAGCGTGTGCAGAACGAGGAGCGGAGGAGGAAGGGACTTGGCTTGGCGCGCGAAGCGCGCACGGAGCCCACTTGTCTAATTGCAACTAAAATTCATCCATCAACAGTAGCAAACCACGGTACCACGGTGCTTTGGTAACCGCCAATCCAAACAAACAAAAATCAAAGCACGGCAACCGTTTGCCGTCGGAGATGCAGCGATGCAACTTGTGAGCGAATTTTAGGGAAAAATTGAATTTTACTGTAGAGCCAATTTTTATACTGTAGTCGGAGAATTATATGAATTTTAGGGAAGACGGCCTGGGGAATCCGGGCCGGACGCGTGGGCGTTTCTTGAAGGAATTGCGCAGAAACAATAGCGTGGAAGGTGACGGGCGCAGAGGTGGAGACGACCATGATCGACCGCACCCTGGCGACGACCACGCTTCCCGCCAAAAACAGAAACCCAATCCGCCTCCCCCTTTTACTAACAACAGTCAATTTCACAACTTCCAACGCGCGCGCAATGCTTTTCGAACTGACTATAGGGGTCCCGCTGTGGAACGTAGTCAGACTAACGATTTTGAGCTTCGTGACGTCCAATCTGATATCATTGATATGGACGACTGGCTTATCTGTCCGGGCAGGGCAGAGGATATCTTCAGGGCGGCCTGTACAATTAAGGCCGAGGCCCTTCACAAAGAGCTCGATAGTGATCGAAGAGGACACCAGAGATGGCAAGGTTAGGGTCATCCTAGCACTCGCCACTGTCACACTTGTGGCGGCTGAACTACTGATGGAGTTCGGAACAGGTTCCGTCTCGGTCCCGGGTAGCACACTAACTTACGGGGGATACCACTTAAATACGACTAGTCAACCAATCGACGTTTTGTCCACCGGTGAGGGGATTTGGAGAATGCTCAAAAGCAGTGACAGAGTTACAGGTGCAAGCATGCGGCTGCACGGGCTGACAGATAGAATGATGGCTTCGTATAGCGTCACAGCTGAGGAGTTGCAGGTCCTGCGGTCGACTATTGAGCGAGGAGAGGGGGAGTATGCGATCCTTGACTCCCTGGATCCGATGGATAAGCTAGCAACTAGCCGGAACGGCAGTTTATGGTTTGCTGGGGTTGGGGGAGCGGTCCTATTCCGAGGCTCGAACTTCTTATATTACGACGGGGCGAGTGACTTCTACATAATAGATTGGTCAACCAAGCTTGGAAATCTATCACTCGCTCCTCTTGAGCTAGTTATGGATCCTGGGTTTCGGGCTAACGTTCCAGCGTACGCTTTGGGCGGTCTAGATCTCAGGATTGAGGCGCTCGGCAAGGCAACTCTGACCCTGGAATGCGAGACACCTCATGACTACCCGACCGACTGGAATGTTTCTTGCGAAGGGGGAGTCGGCGAGCCTGTCTCATTCATAAGAAGCGATGAAAGTTACAGCTCGACACGGGAGGATTCTTTAATCATGTATGATTTGACAGTGGACTTTGGGGAACGGGTCCAGGCACCGGTTAGCGCGAAGCAATTTAAGACAGTAAGGGTTTTACCATCGGGATCATCTCGAAAGAGGTCGGTCACCCACGTCTATGAGGGGGTCGGGGTCACGGCGGTACAGCTAAGGACGTCCGTGATCTTTGCAATTCATTCCGAGGGCACGGATTTCATATGCTTAGCCATGGGGAGCTCTTTACCTTTCTGGGGGGACATCGCCTGTAGGAGCCGGGAATGGAGAAGTGAGCAGGAAAAAGTTTCTGCTATACTAGCTTTACAAGTCGCAACTTCGAGTTACAAGACCGCCTGGACAATCCACAAAGATTGGATGACAGGAGACCCGTTGTCTACCCACACTACCGTCCATTGGCTATCAGAAAACCTTTCGGAACGCCGGGGGGTCTCTATGTTCAGCACAGAGACAGTAGCTACGGTTGACATCTTGTTTCTGATTGGGCTATTGCTGGTAGCAGTCGTAGGCATGTGTGGAGTGGGACTGCTGCTGGTGAGTGCTAGGGCAGTTTCGCCCAATTATCGAGGTCCAAGGCGCGTGACTCTGGAAACTAGTCGCCGTATTTTGGCAATGTCGAATGCTAGTAAGTATAACTGCCATGTCACGCCTCGATTAGCACCTACCACTTTCGTCACGCGGACAGGCGACCTGACATGTCACTTCGAGACTACATACGATTGTGCTAATGAGGCTATCGGTTACGCTGAAGTTGCTAGGGATGGTCTGGTAATGCTTGGCGGCCCACGGCGACATCGAGGCCCCAGCCAGGTGGGCGATAGGAGGACAAAGAACGCCAGCTAGTAAAGAGGGTCATCACCATAGCATCTCGCGGTGCCCTACTGAAGCCGAACGCCCACGGTCTGCTGCAGGAGAGAGCGAAGCGATTGGTAGTACGCGCGTGGTCGCCCCAAACGGTATGGAGCGGTGGGAATTTTTAGATAAGAAGAAGACACTAGCTGCATTGGAGACAATCAATCTGTCCATGGTGTCAGATCTCGAATTCGAGGTGAGCAAGGAATCTGTCGTTGCTGACTTGAGTCGATTTCTCGGGGAGTGCTTCGACCCATCGAAGTGGACGAGTGAGACGAAGATCGTCACTTTATGTGGGAAAGGTCTCAGAGTGAATAAGCAACTGCTGAAGTACACGAAGCGTTTGGACCTAGTTGTGAGACTGAGATATTGAGCTGTAGCCGGGGCCCTCACCAGAGAGGAGCTGGTCAAAGCTTTCTCAGTGCGGCAGAGGGAAGAGGAGAGGCTCCGGGAACTAAAGGCTAAAGTCAGAATCCCAGAGGTCAGTGACGAATGTGTACAATCCGTGCGACACTCGTTCGCAACTTGGCCACGGGAGCTCAGTCCAGAGGAGCTAGTTAGAGTGAAGCCAAAGCTGCTCGTATACGCCGGGAGTCAAGGGTTTTCCCCCTCTTCTACTCGTTCAGAGTTAAGCCACCCAGGGCTAGGTTGAAGAGCGACGCGGTTGCGTCCAGGTCAGTGGGCGTCTCATGTGACTCAAAACAGGGCTGGGGCACGAGTTACAATGGCGACGATTAAGCCAACGAGTGTTGCGACTCCCATCTGAAATAATACTTTTTGCATAAGTCGAAGATCGTCTGATGCAAGTAATGAGGTTCACTTGAGCCGTACTAACCTCAGCCACCAAGTGATGTTAACGAACTTGTGGGGCGGCTGCGTTAGACGGGGAGAGAAATGTCCGCAAGCCAGGACGGAAAACTGGGGCTGAGCTAACGGGCTATTTACGGAATAGCAGCGTTAACGAAACGAAATTGTGAGTGTCAAAACGTATCGGCGCTGACCCACGCGATACGATCAAAGGGTCAGACACTCAAGTGTCGGGGGCACTTTTAAACAACATGTGACACCAATTCACATACAAGAATTACGTTTGTTTGTTTATCAACCCTCGCTTAAACATTTCTCAACCCGTTTAAAACCTTCGCCTTGTCATCCGCTTGGCCATTGGATCATCTGCGCCAAAAATCCTTAATAAAAAGGGTTAATACATATTTTCCATTTTGTTTCTTTATCAACGATCCCACCGTCACTTGTGAAAGTGTATTGACGCACTTCAAAACCCTCGCCTTGTCATCCGCTCGGCCATTGGATCACCTGCACCAATACACAGTTCACGTTTGTTTGTTTATCAACCCTCACTGAAACATTTATCAACCCGTTTAAACCCCTCGCCTTGTCATCCGCTTGGCCATTGGCTCGCCTCCCGCCTCGTTTTCGACCACCTCACGAGTCGTGAGGCCCGTGAGCCACGACCGACCTGTTTACACTTTTCCCGGTCTTACCTTTTCGGATAATCTGAGCAGCCTATCGGTTGGGGTCTTTTTCACAGTGCACCTATGCCCCACGGGTATGTGTCCATCCAATATCAACGCCAGGCCGTCCGCCCTTCCGGGTGCTCGCGGACCCCCCTCCAGCATCAACCACCTCCCGCCTCGAGACGGGGTCTTGCTTACGGCATTGCAGTCTTCTCGAAGATGATTGGTCACAAACAGGGCGCGCGGTGATGGAGAACACACAATTGACTGCTGGTGCCTGACTGCTGGTGCCGCACACAGGTTGGAACGCGCCCTTCTTACCACTGATTAAGATGGTGGGACATACCCCATGCAGTACCGTTCCCTTGCCTTCGCAACGTTGCGCAATACCGTGCATTCCCTACTTTCCATCCACTTCTGATATTGCAGTAGCTCTGGTTTCGTGCACGTAGGCGTCTGCTATTGTATAAAAGCTCGCCAAAACATACACCCTTTCGATACCGTGCCACCTTGGAAATCACGTCTTCAAACCCTATATGGTCTGCAACAGGTCTCTTCCGTTTCGTCCTGCACTGCTACTCATGTCCGCTTGCAACGTGTACGCATATCGAAAACGCTTTGCTGTTCACTTCGTTTGAAACAACAAGTTCCATTTTTCTCTTGTCCAGCTGGCATCTATTTCTTTGCCGCCGTACACCAGCCTGATCTCTGAGGAACTCTCTTTTAACTTTACCGTGAATGTCACTCTAGGTACCCCAGCACTCTTGTCCATGAATTGGAATTGGATAAACAGCGCAGCATGTCTGGGCGTAGAACACTCCATGCGCACTGTCCTCCCTTTCTGCTAACAATGGCGAATACGAGGACTCTACCCTATCCCAGTGTGGATGAAACTATAGTGTTCGAGACCGCGATATACTCGAAAGGAGCGACCGGGACAGGGCATGCCGCGACGTCTTCCCAACGTAAAATCGACATTTTTAGTATACAAGCGCAGTGCACATATACCGCTACGCTAACCCTGCAATTTCAGTTTCTCCCGCCTGGTCCCCCCGGCACGGAAGACGTGAACAAATAAATCCTTCCACTCCTCTTACTGGACCAATAAAGCTCTCCGTCCGACCCCCTTCCAAACCGCACATCTACTCTGTTCTGAGTTGCGAATTGTGGCTCCGACCGCATGGCGTCTCCGAGCGTTTCGAACAGCAACGGCGGAGTGGCCGGGTCCTCGTCGTGGTCGAAGAAGATGCGCGCCTGCCTCGTGCGCGCCTGCGTGAGCTGGTCGGGCGGCCCGTTCGTGACGGCGGCGTCGATCTCCTCCAGCGTGGAGAAGTAGAGCTTTCCACTCGTCGGGAAGTCTGCGTAGAAGTAGTGCCCGGCCATGGGCGACGCGTTCTCCACGGGGCACCCGCCGGCGATGGCCTGCCCGATAATCCCTGCGTCCACGTCGCCCTCGTGGCCGACCTGCGCGACGGGATACTCGAACCCAAAGGCCTCGTCGTCGTCCGGCAGCGGGCTGACGCCGGTGAGCAGGCCGCCGCCCGTGTGCTGGAACGTGCCCTCGCGCAGCGACCAGCCGTAGTTGAGCCCCTTCTTCACGACGTTGACCTCCTCGACGTTTGCGCGGCCCGCGTCGGCGACGAACAGCGTGCCGTCGCTGCTGAAGCAGATATGGTGCGGGTTGCGGAAGCCGTACGCCCACACCTCCGGCGGGAGGGCGTCCGCGGCGGCGACGAACGGGTTGTCCGCGGGGACAGTGTACGGGGAGCCGTCGGGGGCCTCGCGCGGGTCGATGCGCAGGATCTTGCCCAGGGCGTCGTCGCGCTGGCCGCCGCCGGCCGTCGCCGACTGGACAGAGCCGTCGCCGTGGGCGATGTACAGAAGCGAGGCGTGGAAGGCGATCTGCTTGATGGGGTGGTCGTACACTGGCATGCCGACGCGGAAGACGAGGCGGTAGCTGTCCGGGACGGGCAGGGCCGTGGCCGGGTCGTGGCGGAACTCGAGCAGCACGCTGTCCGCGTCGATCGGGTCGGGGACGTCCGAGATGTAGGTGAAGGTGGGTGGGTCCGGCGGGCGCTCCTCCATGGCGGAGATGTAGAAGAGGTTGTTCGTGGCGAAGTCCGGGTGGAAGGCGATGGAGCGTACGCCACCGTGCTGCTTGTTCTGAGTGGAGAGGGTGCGCGGCGTGTTCTGGTCGATGGCGGCGGAGACGTCGAGGTAGAGCGAGACGTCGGCGGTCGGGGTGACGCGGTACACGCTGGTCAGGGTGCAGACGTACAGGTCCGGGGCTCTCGGGATGATGGAGATGATTAGTGCGGGGGAGCCGTTTTCGTCGGGCAGCTTTGCGAAGCGCTCCGTGTAGACGTCCATGTCGTTGGGGATGATGGGGGTGGCGACCGGGTTTGCGGCACGGACATGGGTGGTGAGGAGGAGGGGCAGGAAGAGCGCGAGGAGCGCGAGGAGCGCGGAGGGGGAGGCCATGGTGCGGGGTGGGAGGGTGAGCATGGCGGGGGCGGGGTGCGTTGCGGGATGATATAGTTATAGAGTTATTGACTTGAATGAATGGTGCAGTAGACATGACTTTAGTTGTTGATCTGTATGAATTCGGGTCACTCTTTGTAAGCTACATTTAGCTACATACGCACATACATACTCCCTTAAGGATTGGGCTACCTGAAACCTACCTTCAGGGGCAGCAAGAGCAACGAGTATTTTGATAGTAAACTGTCATGCTGTTGGGGTGTGATGAACGAATGATCGTTTCATTTGAGTCAATAGGACTATCAAAGGGAGGTCGAAGACGCTGTTCGTCTTCGACGTGAGCTCAATGAATATCTGAACCAACACACGCACTGACAAAATTGTCCCAAACCCGTGCTCACAAGCAGTTACGCGGCACTATCCTGCTGCTTCCCTTTTTCCCTGGTAAATCTATTTAGCAACCCTTTACACACACCTCAACAACCCCTCCGGACCGCCCAGCTTGCGATCTCCCGGCAGATATGGACGCATACCGGGAGGTCGGGGAGGAGGGGCGGGAGGTGGGGGAGGTGGAAGCGGGGAATGCATGGTAGACGCAAGGCAGTTGAGGTGCAGAATGATTACAGTAATGGGCAAGGCGGGGGGGGGGACTTGAATTGGGGGGCAAGGGCGTGTCCCGGGGTTGAATTAGACACCCAATAAGCAAATGCCTTGCTCATGTGCCGCGTCGTCCTCGCGAGTCACGCTGCCCCGACTGTAAATGCGCCGCCCTGACAGTCGATCGCAGATCGTCCGTTACGCTTACAGCCGGCGCACGTTGAGCAGCTGACCTGACCTGACCTCACACATTCACATTCGAGACCAGCACGTAACCTTTGCTTCCGTCGCCCGCACCAACGGCTCATTCCCGGCTCATTCCTGCCCGCCAGACCGCCGCCCTGCCTGCGCGCTCCCCCCGCGCAAACACGTGCACGCTCCTCCTCGTGCCCCGCCCCGCCGGGCCCCTCC